ATCACTATTAAAATCACCAGTTGCAACAGAATATGGAGCAGAACCAACTCCTGTTGAATATGTCATTATGGGATCAAAAAATCGATTGCTACGTCCAAGTAAAACACCTACATTATTAGTACCATAATTAGCTACAATAATATCCAACCAACCATCATTATTGAGATCATCAATAGCGATCGAATATGGTTGTGATCTAGTACCAGTACTATATGTCATCACACCTGCAAATGGTTCATTGTCGTATCCAAGAAAGATGCCTATATTATTTGTCATATAATTGGAGACAGCAATATCTAATCGAGTATCATTGTCAAAATCATCAATAACTAATCCCTGTGATGTAGATCCAGTGCCAGTTGAATATGCGATTCCCAATAAAAAACTTCCATCTCCTAAATCCAAATAATACAACAACATTGCTAGTACCAGAATTAACGACAGCAATATCTAATATATTGTCCTTGTTAAAATCATGAACATCAACAAATACTGGAGTAGAACCATCCCCAGTTGAATATGTTACGACAGGAGCAAAAGTTTCATTTCCACATCCAAGAAAGATGCCTACATTATTCATATTATAATTAGCAGTAGCGATATCAATTCGACTGTCGTTGTTGAAATCACCTACAGTTATCCACACCGGAAACGATAGGTCTCCCGATGAATAAATCACTTCACTTTTAAAACTTCCATTTCCAAGTCCAATGAAAATACCAATATTGCTAGTAAAATAATTAGCAACAGCGATATCCAATGAACCATCATTGTTGAAATCACTAACAACGATAGAATCTGGACCAGAATTATTTCCAGTCGAATAAGTCACCATGGTAGTGAAATTGAAATTGCCACATCCAAATAGAATACCTATATTGCTAGTACCATAATTTGCTACAATAATATCCATTCGACCATCATCATTTATATCGATAATGATGACGGCGTAAGGTCGAGAATTTTGTCCAGTTGAATATGTACCTATGGTAGCGAAGCTTCCATTGCCATATCCAAGAAGAATAACTATATTATTAGTACCATAATTTGCAACGACAATATCCAATACTCCATCATTGTTAAAATCATAGGCAGCCAGTGATTGAGGCGCTGAACCATTTCCAGTCGGATGAATTATTACAATACCAAAGCTTCCATTACCGTATCCAAGAAGAACACCTATGTTATTACTATTGAAAAAGGTAGCGGCAATATCTAGATAGTTATCATTATTGAAATCATCAGTGATGATTCCCCATGGACCTAAACTATCTTCACTTGAATATGTCGTCTGTCTTCGAAATGATGTATAATTAAATCCAAACAATATTCCTATATTATTTGTTCCACTATTAGCAATGATTAAATCCAATCGATTATCATTATTCATATCGCTTATAGCCACTGCATATGGATATGAGTCAGTTCCAGTAGAATAAATCATTTGAGGTGCAAAAGTCCCATTACCATATCCCATAATTACACTAATACTATCATTTTTTGAATTAGCAGTAACTATATCTAGATGATTATCTTTGTTTATATCATCACTGATAATATATTGTGGATGAAAATTCTCACCAATATAATATATTGTTTCTGTTTCAAACGTACCATTACTTGAACCAAAAAGTACATCTAAATTATCAGTTCCTGAATTGACTATGGCAATGTCCACTTTATTGTCATTATTAAAGTTACCAACAGTTACTGAATATGGTTGTGGAGCTGAATCTGTTGTATAAGCGCTTTGATTTACAAATTCTGCAGCATAATATTCAGTTAATATAGCAACATTCCCATTGCCCCACAAAGTAACAACAATATCGGTTTCATTTTTGTTCTTTAACTTGACGGTAGTCACACTATATGGGTTTGAGCCAAAACCAGTAGAATATGTTCTTGCAAGTTGAAAACTGCCATTACCATATCCGTAAAAGATAATTACTACATTATTTCCGATATCAGTCACAATAAAATCATACTGATTATCATTGTTGAAATCAGCAATAGCGATAGAATATAGCGAAGAAGTAGAGCCAGTTGAGTAAGTCGTGACTTTTTCAAAAGTTCCATTTCTATGTCCAAGAAGAACACCTACAAAACTACCTTGTAAAGTAGCAACAAGAATATCAAGTTGATTATCCCTATTGAAGTCAGCAAGAGCGACATACGTTGGATAAGTATAAAGACCAACAGAATACGTCGTTACATCGTTGAAACTTCCATTCCCATATCCAATTAAAATACCTACATTATCAGAGTGATGATTAGCGGTAATAATATCTAATCGATTGTCATTGTTGACATCACCAACAACGACTGAGATTGGATTAGAGTCATAACCAGTAAAGTATGTTGTCGTATTACCGAAAATTCCATTACCAAGTCCAAGAAAAACACTTACATAAGTAAAGCCCCAGTTACCGGAAACAATATCTAGTATATTATCTCCATTAAGATCTCCAACAGCGACTGACCATGGTAAAGAATTAATACCTGTAGAATACGTTGTTACATTAGCAAAAGTTCCATTGTCTTGTCCAAGAAGTACACCTATAGTATTAGAACCATAGTTAGCAGTAACAATATCCATTCGATTGTCATTGTTCAAATCAATAACAACAACATAATGTGGAAGTGAATTTTCGCCTGTTGAATATGCCATGTTCTTTGAAAAAGTTCCGTTACCATAACCAGTGAATATAAGTACATTATTGTCATGATTGCTAACGATTAAATCAAGTTGTCCATCGTTATTAATATCTGCAATTGCAACACAGTTTGGACGAGTATTTTGTCCCACAAAATAGTTGGTTTGCCTTGTTGATGGTATACTGAAATATCCACTAAGTATAAGTATATTATTAGTAGCATAGTTAGCAACAACAATATCTGATTGATTGTCTTTGTTAAAATCAGCGATGGCGATTGAAAAAGGATTGGATTTTGATATACCATCATAAGTGGTTACCTTTGTAAAAGCTCCATTATCATATTCAGAAAGAAAATGTATTTGATCGTTTTCCGAATCAACGACAACAACATAAAATCTATTGTCTTTATTAAAATTACCAACAGTAATATATTGTGGATGAGAATTGGAACTTATTGAGAAGGTTAATTGTTCTGTAAAATTGCCATTACCATAACCAAGAAATATCCCAATATTTCCATTTCCATTATTTGCAACAATAATATCCAAATGATTATCATTATTAAAATCTCCAACTACGATAGAAGATGGATTGGAGTTTATATCAGTTGTATAAATATTTTTATTTTCGAACCTACCATTACCATATCCAAGAAGAATAACAATGTTATTTGTACCATAATTAACCACAGCAATATCTAATTGATTATCTTTGTTGAAATCACCAATTGCTAAAGAATATGGAATAGAATCATAAGCGATGAAATAAGTTATTTGATTTTGGAATGATCCATCACCATTTCCAAGAAGTATTCCAATATTATTCGTACCATAATTAACAACAGCTATATCCATTTTATTATCATTATTGAAATCATTTGTAGTGATAAATAATGGATGAGAAGAACCAAGTGAAAATATTCTTTGGTCATGAAATGTACCATTACTATATCCAAGAAAAATTCCGATATTATTGTTACCATAATTAGCAACAGCAATATCTTGATAATGATCATTATTAAAGTCATTGACAATGATTGAATAAGGACGAGATTGATAACCAGTTAAATATGTTTGTTGATTTATAAAAGTTCCATTATCATTTGAAAGAAATATTCCAATTGTATTTGTACCAGAATTGGCTACAACAATATCTATTTTATTATCATTATTAAAATCTCCAATAGCAACAGATCGCGGTTGAGAATTATAAATAATTGAACTTTTCATTGTTCGTCTAAACATATGTTGACATGTTTCACCTAAAATAAAACAAAATTTTAAGTGTGTTGAATATCAATGATTAATATTAATGTATTTAACTGTTAAATTTTTCAACTCATAGAAAAGTTAGATTGAAATGAATAATACTTTGGTATAAATATTGAAATTTAGTAGAATGAAATGAGTATTTCTATGATGGTCTTAAGTTTACACTTGAAATACTGATGAGATTCACTCTTTGCTCAATCCTTTTTATGGTTGTTTTGAGAATAAAATCAAATGACTATTGAAGTGTTATTTTGAGATTTCCGAAACAGACTTTCCATTTGATTTTAATTTGCTTATATTAAAATAAAACCGGAATATACTTGTTCGTTTTGGTGATGTAAAACAAACAATCAATACACCAATAATCATTACAATACTTGTGAAAATAGCAAATGCAGATACAGCTGTTGCAGTACGATGTCTTGACCAACATGAATATTCTCTAAGTAAAAATATTATTTATATTATCGTACTTGATAACAAAAGAAAGAAATATACATACAACGGTGTTGGAACCATTGGAGTTTTTTTCAGCTTACTATTCATTTTCATGATTTCTGTCGAATTCTCAACTTGTAAATTATTGACATGAAAATGTTGTTTATCAAGTGAGTGTTCGATTGCAGTATTATCGTTATTCATAGAGTATCCATTAATCTATGACAAAAAAGTAGTTTATAGTAGAGTTTTTGAGCAATAGTCATTTAGGATTAGAATAATTTTCTTCAACTCATCTTATGAATTATTAATTGTGCATTATTTTTATATAGAATTGCTATAATTTTCTACTAAAAATAAATGCTAAACTAAAAAATGAATTTATTTAATGATATTAATTTGAAACAATAGATGTGAAGAAAATATTATTCGAATATTTTCTTTTGATTACTGATGAAAAAAAAGACAAAAGGTTTAGATTTTATTTCATAAATCTTAATTCAATGATTAAACTTTATCTAACTGCAACAACAGATAAAAATTATTAATCAATTTAAACTAAATCAGAACGAGATATGTTTTTATAGAAGTTTTTTTTTTATTTAATGAACTTGATTAACTAAACAAAATTTGTTTTGAAACATAATGTCTTTTTTTCTTTAAATTATAAGTTTTATCATTTCTAAAATATTCTATTTTTGTTTTGTTTTATTTCAATATATTTTATCAAAAAATTTAATTTCATATTAAAATCATCTAAATTTTCTTATATAGAAAAGGGCTATCGAATAGTAAAAAAAATTCAAACTCGATAGCTATTAATACTGGCGAATTATTAACAAAATACTGATGCCTCTATCGTCCATATATGTATTAGGAGCATCCATGATTTCGACCACACTAAATACAAGACAGAAACTATTCTAAAATAACTTTTCTAATCCAGTTTTGTGCGCTGAACATGAATCTGAAGTTAGTTTTCCGGATTTTTAGAAGAATTGTGTGACTTCAAAGGTAGGGTCAATAGTCACTATGTACGGGTGACACAGTATGGTTCTCGCTAACTTGGCAATTTAGTGTCAAAACTAGTGTCTTGAATAGACCTATATCTGGTAAAAAAAGAACTGTAGGACCTTTTGCACCACCCGAGAAAACTCCAAAATAGCACCTCCCCGGAAGGTGGCATTTCTTGGGACTTGAGCGGTTTTTGAGTTATGGCGTTGCTTTCGCCTCATATCTTGGTCACTTGAGTAGGATGAATTTGTAGTTTATACTGTTCTCTATCAAATTAGACGTCCTCGAGCTCCAGCAGTCAACCCATTCGTGAGATAATGTCAAAATACTGAGCACATCCTTTTTTGTCGACTTTTATGGGTCAAAATAGACCCTTTAAACTTGTTTCAGTTGAGATTTTTCATAGGTACAATCAAATGACTTAGTATTTTGGATTTGACTATGGTTCGACTAGACCTAACATTTCAGATAATAAATTCGAAAACAAATCTTTTCCCCGGCGCCATAGGATAGTCCTGTGGCGAACCCTCTCTTAAATTGATAACAAGCTACTTAGGGGATACCAAAAATAGCGGCAGTGACACTTTAATACCGTATAGTAGGCTTAAAGAAACTTTCTTTCTGTATAGTCTGATGTTCTACAGTTATACTAATGTCTATTTAGTGAATATTTTTTGAATAACGTTTGATAGAAACAAGATAGAGAACTGCGGTTTTCACCGTTGGAAAGAGGAGATGAAGATGCATTGAATCGTGTATTATAGGTTATTCTAATATTGATTTCTGAAGTATTTTTATTCAATTTTCTAACTATCGGAAAATTTTTTTTTTTTATAAAAAAGGAAAAAAGCATAAAAGTGATCTTCTTTTACAGAATTTGCTAGAAAATCGTATTTGAGTCTCGATTCTAATACACATTATTCATCTCAGTCTTTCAGATTTTGTAGATCTTCTCTTAGTGGTTTGAATTTATACTTGATCATTGAAAATTCACTATAAACAACTTACCAGATAGGTTAGTTGTTAAAAAGGTCAATCGGAAATCTTACAAAAAATAGATTGGGAAACTCAGGAATATACGATTCGATGCATCTTCATCTCCTCTGTCCAATGGTGAAAACCGCAGTTTTCTATCTTGTTTTCGATCAAAAGTTATTCAAAAAATACTCACTCTCATTCTTTTAAAATGAGTATTATTACAACTGGCACATATGATAACGAAACAGGTCTTACCGAAATTTTATTATTATGATATTAGGTGAAGTACGATCAAATAGCATAGAATTTACGAAAATGTTAGATGAATACTAATTAATAACTGGTAAACTTTTTCTGGCATTCTGCCATATTTATAGAACAGCCCTATCTAAATTGTAATTTATAATTTACATAAATTTTTTTTCGACGTTTCTGTTAGAATTATAGGAAAATTTTTGTCTGAATTATAATTTACAATTGAAGTAAATATTATCTGCACTTGAAACGAATTTTTTTGCCTACTATCGTCCATCATGTTTTCGAAAATTTCATTTATATTCGAACTCAAACTAGGCATCTACTCGTAAACTTAGTTGTTCTGATCCACCTTGGTAATCGTAATCGATTGCTTTTACTAGTAAAATTTATGTCGTCTAAATTTTCTCAATTTTAAATATAAAATAAAAATAATAAAAATGATGATACTTACTATACTTTTTCGTATATGACTATCGTTCATCTGTTCGTTTGACTATTATTTTCACTGATCAACAAGATTATTTTTTTAATCGACAATTCGTTTTATATTTTGCTTGCTTATTTTGTTATCACACAATTTATATCAGAGTTATTTTATTCATGAGATACAAAACATCGCTCTACCTTTATAAATAATGTTTAATATTATACTTCAATTTGACAAATATGTCCTATGCATATAGGCAAACTTGCTTGAAACGTCTATGATGAAGAGACAAGATAAATCGCATCGAAGAAAAAAACTATTTCTCGATAATGCATACCTGAAGGGTTTTTTTTGCCATTCTTTACATGTGCTAATTAAATACTCATTGATAATACAATCGCGACGTTTCTTTTTTTCTCATAGGTATGAGTTTTTTCTCTCACTCTTCATATGCACTGATGAGGTACCGATTCAATAAAAATCAAGTAAAAGAATAAAGTAATTGCAAAATAGATAAACGCTGTTTTGCTAATATGAATTTTGTAATAATGAATAATACAGTAAACAACTGAATTGTCTGGAGTTTTAGAATGTTTAACTAAACACAATTGACACAACAATACAGAAAATACTATGAGAGTTTCATATCATATCAAACGGTCGAAAAAAATTTTCTAAAAGTCTAACATGTAAGATTGGTATCGTTAGAAAGAGTGCGAAACTGAGTATTACCATAGAATATGAGTGCGGAGTATGGTGTAGTCCCAAGCAAAATTTTTTAAAACAAGATTCCCTGCAAGAAGAATTTTTTTTATCTTTCTTTAGTTTTTTCTTTCGTTCTTTCGTTCGTGATGACATATATATGCATATTCCATTGTTTTATCATGTACATCTTTGGACTGAATATTTATATTTCAAATAAAATGTATTTATATATAACTATTAAATAGTTAATTTCTTTGGTATCATTTGCACTCAAAAACATAATATCACATTACTTTTAGAATTTACTTATAATAATTATGTGTTCCGACTTAATAACTTTTAATTTATTAATGGATTGCAAACTAACTATGACGAATATCCTCTCATAGTTGTCACTCTCGAGCACTATTTAAAGATTTCTAGGACTGCTTAATCTATAGTTATAAGTATTTATCAACTACGGTAGTATTATATTTGAAAATTGACAAGAAAATCAAAAACGTTTAGCGTATTATAGATATGAGATCTTGTATCACTACTATTTTAGAAAAAAAAATACAACGAATAAAAATGCGACATTGTACAGCTTCTACATTTTTGTAAACGTTTTTCAATTAATATAGGAATTAGTCCATTTTAACCGACGACGATTTTTTTCCGATTTCAACTTCATCGAAAGAATTTTTCTTTGTTTTCAACATTGCCACCAGCGAAAATTTCTTTCGGTGAAGTTGGGAATAGATTAAGTATAACTATTATAATGAAAGAATCAGAAAAGATATTTTTCCTTTTCTTACGATTTTATTTAAACAGTGATGACAAATAGTCATTTTTACTATGCTTTTATCAGTGTTATAACGATTTACCTTTTCGAGCCATTTTAAAGGACTAACCTATTCGTAGTTCTTTTGTCTTCTCAAGATAATGTCGAAATGCTGAGTAAAAATGTAATGTATATTACTGATAGACGATTGATAATTTGCAAGACTATCAAGTTTTCTTTATAATATTCTTATGAAATATTAACTAAATGGATACTTTTCGATAATGAGATAGATTGGCTACAGTACGACATGATGTAAGTGCCTATCAGTCATTTAAGATCTATATATAGGTCGATAGTCGAGAGAGGGAGTCTCATGAAAACATGAGAAAAATACCGATACTAAAAATGCTCGAAATGATTCGTAAAAAAATATTAAAGTACACAAAAAAAAATACCAATAAATAATTTACCGTGCTAAAATCTATCTATCGATCTGTATAGTTTACGGAATGAAATATCGAAAATAAGTTAGTGAACTGAACTCTATGGCCTAATGCTTCATGTTGACTGAAATAAAAATGAATGATAACAGTACTACTTCGATGTTTCAATTTCGTTTATTAATTCAAACATGAAGACATGTGTACAAGACGAAAGTGAATAGATTAAGTATAACTATGTTAAAAATTATATCATAATTAATTTGATAAAATTTAACGTCACATAACAACATAAAGTACAGTTTGACAAAAAAAAACAAACATTTCTAGAAAAAGCTTTTACAAACGAATTTAGATCTTCCTGCTCATAGAACTGCTTGAAT